TCCCATGCCCAGCTCGCCCATTCGACCGCGTGGGTAACGACCTCTATGGCCCCCTCCCATATATTCGCTCTGGAAACCGATGGATTATTGTCGGCGTCGATCATCTGACACGCTACGCTGAGACTGCAGCTCTACCAGCAGCGACCCCCCACGAAGTTGCACTCTTCATTCCGCGCAGCTTCATTCTCCGCCATGGGGCTCCACGGGAATTACTCAGTGATAAAGGTCGAGTGTTCCTGTCGGAGGTCCTCCAAGCTATTCTCGCTGAATGCAACATCATCCACCGGAAATCTACCGCATACCATACACAGACGAATGGTCTCACTGAACGGTTCAACCGCACACTTGGCGACATGCTGAGGATGTACACCTCCTTTGACCACACTAACTGGGACGCTGTCTTACCTATTGTTACCTTCGCTTACAACACCGCGACACAAGCGACTACCGGGTTTTCCCCGTTTTTTCTGTTGTACGGCCGCGAATCATCCCACCCACTCGAAACTATACTCCCGTACCGCCCTGATGCATCGAAGTGCTCCCCGCTTTCGGACGTCACCAGATACGCCGAAGACTGCCGTCAGTTGGCTCGATCTATGACAAGTGAGGCTCAAAGTCTACAAAAGACCCGACATGACGACGTTCATCACATAGCGCCCACGTTTCGTACTGGCTCCCTTGTGTGGCATTGGGTGCCCCCGCACGTTCCTGGCCTTTCTTCTAAGCTTCTGGGTCGGTACCATGGTTCATGCCGTGTCATTGAAGCAACCTCGCCGTGAATTAGATCATTAAGCCCCTAACACAATCGACATATTTGCGCCGTCGAGGACGCGAGACCGTACACGTCGACCGTCTCAAGCCTTACTACGACCCCCTCATTTTGCCTATTCCCGAGTCGCCAGGATGGCTAATATTCACCCCGGGAGTATTGTAGTAGAGCATACGCACTAACATGTATGCGCCTTCCAAAGAGATCAAAAAACCACGTGCTCTGATTGCACGAGAACCTGTGCCTCCTTTTCCAGACTTGCCGTACACCCATTTTCCGTCGCGACCTCGTTGCGACTCCTCTGTTTGAATAAACATCATCGCACACAGTACATTTCTTTCTAACTTGAGTACGATATTATGAGAGTTAGTTCTTAACTATAAGTTCTTAACTATATATTCCTTTTAGCTAGGAGTGGAAAAAGGTATTTGCTTACTCTAGCATAACTTTAAAAACAAGCTTCCCGATTCTTTGTTAGTGAGTGATAATTGAAGCGACAAGAAGTTTTTTGGGAAGCAACACGTTTTGCTTGTGAAACTGATCAAAAAGGCAAATATCGCAGGCACCGCAAACCAACTGAAATGGTGACGTCCCCGTTATGACAAGCAGAGCCTGTTGCAGTGCACATCCCAGCCCTGCCCGTGCACAAGCTCCAAATGAGGGGCCAGCGCACATGACAAAGGAAGAAAGCGAGGTTAGAAGCCAGCGGCTCCAGATATCGACAGACTCCGTGTCAGCTCTTTTTTTCTCTTTCGCTCTATTGGTTATGCTGACGCCAGCCAATGGGGACGTCGCTCAACGCATAAACGGCGCTTAAGAGCTGTACTCCAAAAATACTGCCCTATTGTCCTTGTCCAGGTCTTAGAGTAGCTTCAAGGCCTACACTTGAAAGAGCTACCGAGAAACCTGGGGAAGTGCGTAGCACGGGCGACCCATTGATTCCCTTGGCTTTGGCACCAAGTAACGAAATCACGTTACTTGGGCATAAGCCGGATGTTTCAAAAGTGTTTGTTGCTAATCGAGGTAACTTGTGGCGGTTACATCTTGTTTATTTCTGTAGTTCAAGTTCTTGACCTCCTTGGTTTACTTTGGACTAGTTTAGAGTAATGTTAGAGTAATGTTAGCCTCTTCCTAGGCCTGTACCAATCGCTTGATTTGGAGCGTGACCAGGTTGCACGAGACACAGCATGGACGACAAACCGAGCCCCTCTTACATGCTGCGCACGTTAATGTCGACAAAACTTTTCATTTTAGAACTCCTGTTAATAACAAAATGTTAGAGCTGTGCAAACAGCAAAATTCTGAATGCGAAGCAAGCTTGAACATTAAGGTTTGAGCGTGAATCAAACATTTTCTGAATGGCTGTCGAATATCTATTTAAAAATTTTCAAATGCTTCGAAGCGTGAAAAGACAAAAAGGTTGCCGATGATCGCAGATGATCTCGTCTTTCAATATCATAACCTTTCTTTCAAGATCATATGCTGGCTGGTGTGGCCGCTTAACTCCAGTTACGGTCGCCATGAAGCGCGACAGCGGCGACAACGCGCACAAACACAGCCGCAACACTCGAAATCACAACACGAAGAACCAAGACACGAAGTAGTACACTAGTAGGCATAGCATGGGCGTAGCGAGCAGCTGTTAGTAGACACTGGATGCGCCGGTGGCCAGAGCGCTTCCGCCGGGTGGTGACTAGTGCCACCTTGCCACTTCCCCCTCATTCTCTATCATCATCGTCATATTCTGCAGCAGTTTGCTCGATTTCAGTTTCTCCGAAACTCCTGTTCTGCAGTCGGTTGCGGCAAGCGATGCTTGAGCCTCCAAGCCGCCTAGATCGCGCGACTCTGGAGTCATGATAGCCCTCTCCGGAGTTGTCCGAGATAACCGGTGCACGGCTAGATCCCTCCGAATTAATGAGCATTTGACCTCATTGAAATATACACAGTTTTGCCGGGACCGCACCACGAGTCCGAGTTAACTGAATTTCCGAGTTAACGAGGTCCGGATAAACAAGCTTTTACTGTATGCAGCTAGTATACAAACCGGATAGCAGCAGCATTAATGTAAGTCATGGGGGCGGGGGAGGGTCAAAGAAGTCCGGAATTTTCTTTTGTTCAGGCTGGGGAGGACAGCCCTTGCAAGTGTCCCTTTTGAAATTTAGCTTTAGCAGGTGATATAATTGAGCTAACAGTTAAGTATAGCACAATGAACTTTTTAAAACACTCTTTATCTGTTACTGCATACCTCTGTTAAATGCCCCTCAGCTGTGTGAACTACGGAAATCGCAAAAAAGTGAAAAAAAAGAGCGAATAGAACAACACAATCGCTCAAGCTTGCACCACGTGCTTATTTTTTTATATTCTATTTGAAAGCATGATTTATTGCTTATATAAATAAAGATACAACTCACATTAAAAATACGAATTGGCCACCATGGCTTTATATGTGACACCCTTTGCAACTTTTCTGGATTTAAGTACCGAGTTGCATACTAGGACGATAGTGTGTACACAGCTTGCTTTTGGTTTCGCTTAGGCTCGCGGGATGGTCGCATGGTTCAACTTCATTCTATTTAGTTTGCCAA